TAAGTTATGAAACAAATTACTCAGATTAGAATAATATAAAATAAAAAAAACAAAAACAAGAAATTCTATTCCTCACTCTCATATAGTGAAGCTTTTTACTTTTCTGTCTCTATATTTTTATACACCAGATAAAAAAAATTAAAAAGAAGAAGAAGATAAGATGTACAGGAGTTTGTTTGTTCTGTCCTTGTTTACAAAATTTGTTAGAGAGAATTTTCTTTTGCTAGGTTGACGGCCAAATGTTTTTCCATTTATTTTCTGGATTAGTCTATAAGCTCAACCATCGGAGATTAGATTTCCAAATGTGCTTTGCGATTCTACCTCTGTCAAAGGCCATGCCAAATTGGTATGACAGTTGTTTCAAATTAAATTATTGTGGTCCTTGCTCTATAAAAAATTTTGTCTCCACAATTGGCAGAATCAACTCAAATGAGAAGTGAGATCAATCAACGTGTCACCCGAACAAGAATGTGAAACTGCCTATCAAAACTTACTAGTAGGAATACTGACCAATCAAAACTTACCCAACCACTATGATTCATTCCATATAGTGTAGGCTTGATCAGTTGGTCAATTTGAAATTTATGAGTTTGATAAATAAATCAACGATTTTATACCCGCAGGCCACAACAATAGTGCTAAAGTTCTTAGTTTTATAGGTTTTATAGGCGTTCCCTTTTAGAAACTTAAGTTGATACAGATTGAGAGTTCAAAACTTGAGAATTAGTTCAAAAGAGACTAGGTTTATACAGAAAAACATATTGAGGGTCCAAAACTCAGATGCTAGTTGTATATGAAGGAAAAGTTGCGAATTGAACATGATCATACATATATATAGCAATTTTTCTTCTTCTTTTTTTAATTTTTATTTTTTCAGTAAAAGAAAGGGTAGGAGGGTGCGACCATCACACTTGATCATATGTAACAATCAACAAAACTCGATCGCATGATCTCATTAGGGTGTTGCACAAGCAGCATTTTCTCCTCTACTTAAAGTAGGGGTAGGCGTGGATCGGTTGCGGCCACGAAACCTTCAATCCGCCATCCGTCCGCCAGATTGGTGGATTGGACAAAATCAATCCGCATCCGTCCGCCAATCCGACGGATGTGGATTGAGCGGATTGGCGGTTTGGCGGATGGATGCGAATCGGTTTGACGGTTTGGAATTTTATAAATTTTTAACATAGTTCAACTTGTGCACTTCAAAAAAAAAAAAAAAAAAAAGAGAAAATATTACAGTCAATGACTTAAAAAAGAATTACAATTACTGCATGCCTCATCCAACGAAAGAAAGTTTGAAACTTTAGAATATCACAATCACTGCATGCCTCATTCACATATTACAATCACAGCATATCTCATCCACATAAAATATTACAATCTGTGGTTCTTAAAATATAAAAACAATTCAAACCAGTAAAACCATGAATAGAGCAATAGTAGAGATTATATATCTCTGTATTATTACATTTATATATGTTTTTGAAAATAAAAACAACCAACATATAATATATTTTCTATTTATTACTTTTAGAGTTAGATTTAAAAACCGAAAAATATAGATAAATAATACGTTTATTTTTTTCAATTCAAAAAATATATTCAAGTTGAAAACTTTTTTTCAACAGAATATTCGAACTATTTTTCAATTGAAAACACAAACAAAATATTTAAACAAATTGAAAACATAAAGTTTTATAAATTACTAAGGGTACTCGCGGTTTGGCGGTTCGGTTGCGGCCAAAGGAACCTTAAATCCGCCATCCATCCGCCAAATTGGAGGATTGGAGAAAATCAATCCGCAACCGTCCGCTCGTCATCACGCATCCGTCCAAAATGCGGCGGATCGGGTCGGTTCGGTCGGTTTTGGCGGATCGGTATATCTGCTGCTCACCCTTAAAGCTGATGGAATTCTGAAAACTTCCTTTGCAAACCAAGAAAAGTGGGATGCTAAAAAAGCTACTCTATTTCTTTCAATTTGAGAAAAGAAGAAATAGTATGTTCCAGTGTAGTCAAAACCATACGATACGTATCGTATGGAAAAAGATATGTATCGCAAACTCGTATCATTGGTCACTTGAATCGTGAGATACGTTTCCTTATCATATAATTCCTTATCGTATTGCCATTCAACTCGTATCGCACGATTAATTAATTTTTACATTCTTCTTCACCTTTGGCCCCATTAGCTACTTTTCGTTCTATCAATCACCCATAGCTAACACTCATTGAAGAGTCATAAACTATATTATCAAAAATCTCATATAAAAGAGACCCAAATTCAAATAAATTCGCAAGAAAAAATGACTGATATACTCCTGTTGCTACAAGAAATTAAATTACTATCATAAATCTATTTTGATTGAATTTACATATACCTTATTCACCAATTTGGTCATTAGTTATATGATTTACTAGTTTATTTTTTGCAATAAATTTATATATTATATGAAAATACTTATTTTTTTTCCCCTATATTTATATGTTAATGTATCATACGATACGTTAGATGATATATAAGGATATTTCAAGTCCTATGTCAAATGTAATTGTACTTAGAAACCTCAGTTGTTATAAATTGAGGGATTAAAACTTGAGAATTCTTTAATCATGATGCTAAGAAAAATTAGGAAAATATAAACAAGTTTAAGAATTCTTTAATCATTTTTTGGTTAATATGCTGACAATATTGCCAACTGAATTTCATTTGAGAACTATGAAAATTTGTTCACTGGTAGCAGTTCAATAACTAGGAGCCAAATTCAACCAAATCAATCACTAAAGTTTTAGGCAGCATGCATTTTTGTCTTGAACATGAGCATAGGAATCTACATAAGCAAAATTCACAACATACTAGAAAAATAAATTTGGTTAACAGAAAGTCCATTAAGTCAAGCAACGACACAATCCAATATTCTTTGGATGCAATCCAAGTTCCCTCAAGCAACAACACACATTAGTTCAATGTTCTCACAGTCCTTTCTAAAGCAAGGAGACTTTTGAGTGCATCTTGGAAATGCATTCCATCAAACATGAAATCCTTGGCATAAAAAATTAGTCACTGTTATATCCAAGCAACAATCTTGACCTACTTAATTCCATTCAGTTCAGATAGAATCACAGAGCTGTCATAAAATGTTCCAACATTGCATCAACAATGTGCAGTTTCTTGCTTTCATTCTGCAAAAAATCACCATGAAGTTGAAGTCGTAGAAAGTCCAATCCAAGAGAGGGAAATAGGACGGCTTGCGCAGGTCGTTATTCTACTTCTATCGGAAGCCATGTCCAATTTTGAGACAGACGAAAGTTGAATTTCTGTAAAAATTGTATTTTTAAGTTAAACCATATTGATCTCTGCTTTACAAAATTCTCTGTTTTATTAGCTTACATGATCTATTCCCAAGCCTTCATCTCGACTAGCTTTAGCTTGTCATGTTGCTCATTAACTTTGAATTTGCAGAAAGACATGTTGCCGGACCAGATGTCGGTTTGCACTGAGGAGTCGCCGCTGGTGGCGAAGGAGGGGAAAGCGGGGTTTTTGTTCTGTTGAATTATGTAAACTCTTTTTTTTTTTTTTTTTTTTTTAATTGGGCAAATTTTAAATACACTTTGAAATTTATTTAAAATATGAATTATAACCTATACTTTTAGAAATTATATTTTGTCCCTTCAAATTATTAATTGCATAACAAATGATTATTTTTATTAATAAATCCTCAAATCAATTATCACTTTTTAATGATGTTATAACAATATTTTAAGCAACAATTCAGATAATTTTATTGTTATATATGAGAGTAATTAAGAATTTTTTATTTTCTGTTAGTTATGTTAAATAAAAAATTTCGATGAGAATTATCCAAAATCAAGAGAGATAATTTATATTAAGCAAATCTTAAGGAATGTATTTGTAATTCAATTTTTTTTCTTTCATTCTTTTTTCATTCAAATCAAAAGGAAATCATTTTAGAACTACTATAAGGCCCCATTTGTTTTCAAGATAGGATGGATGAGATTGCTAATGAGGAGACTGCATCATTGACAAGCAACACTATTGCATACAAATCGATTAAATCACTCCCCACAAAAAGAAAAAAGAAAATTGAAAATTAGATGACCAATCTGATTTGATAACATGAGAACCCAACAGCTTACCAAATTCAACAGTTTTGGTATCGGAGGAGGCTGTTAAGGAGCTACTACACAAAGCGTATGAATCTATAGGAACCCCCATTGCACGTGTATGAAAGCCAAGATCTGATATCAATGCATTAAAGGGTAATGGGTTTATTGGATTGATGCATTTGAAGAATTTGTTGGTCAGAGTTTGATGGTGGGTTTTGTGAATATGAGTTTGGTGTGAATAAGGTGAAGAGAGAGAAAGAGACTAAGCGGGACAGTCAAGTTGGACCCGTATTGTCCATTACGAGTGTCATTTGAATTATTCATTTTATAAATTTGCATGTGTAGATCGTTACATTTGTTTTTTGAAAAAAATTCAAAATCATTTCTACCATCTATTTTTTGGAATAAAAATATATGCTTACAATTATTGAATTAATTTAATTTTTTTCATGCACAACTTACAACTTACAAATGAATGTATTGAATCATTATAGTGGTGCCTGCAATGAGCTCCACGAGCCCAACTGGATTGTTTAATTTACAAATGTTGTTGTGTTTTCTCAATAAATGAGGAATTTACTTAAAGTTTTTAAAAAGTTTTATAAAACATTGTAGAATTTCATATTGGGAAAAAATGTGAAAGTTGTTCTGTAAATAATTTAATTCCTAATTTTTATTTTAAAACATGCATTATTAGTCACTTATCTTCTATTGTTTAGGTAATTAAAATATAAAAGTATTTAAATATAATATTTCGATGGGTTCAATTTGTATTGGTATAAAAAAATTCAAAATCAAATTAGGCTGCACATTATGAAAAACAGATCGAAAATTGAAATTTTGTTGATTTTGAGCGATCAATTCGGTTCCTTCAATGTACTATGCCTGACAATATAAAGTGGGAAAAGTGGATGTTCACTTGAATTTGATGACTTTACACAAAATGCTCCTGCACCACTGCAATTGCCCCAGAGATATACATATCATTTTCTTTTTCACATTCCATGAAAACAACAAAGGATCAGTGAAACAAATTCACATTATAAAAAAATAAAAAAACATGATTGTACTGCTTATTCCCCACACAGTAAGGCTTTTCTCTTTTCCCATCCAATTTGTATTTACAAAGAGAAAAACAAAAAGAAAAAGGATGTACACATGATGGATTGTTTCTCGCTTACAAAGTTATCTTTGATGATCACCTATGGGATGAGTAAACCTGAGTTCTTCTTCAACCTAATGCAGCAAGTCTTGAAATAAAGTTTGGCTCAAGTATGATAATGGCACCAAAAATCTCTTCTTCTGTGTCTCTCCAACATTAACTGCTAAGTATCCCTTTGGGACATCTACAACCTTGGATGCAGCTTCGCTTCCCGGCAAAACAGATCCTCGAAGGATGGACTGATACCCATGATTTTCAATCAAGGAGCAAGAAAGAATCTAAATGATTAAGCTTGTAGGATAGTGAGGGCGAAAGAAAATTATGGGAAAGCTTTTGTTGGTTAAGTCTAATACATGAGTATTTATAGAAAAAAAAAATGGCCATAGGGTCTCTTATGAAATTGTGGTGGTTAGAATTGTAGATGGGTGTTTGGTCATGTACTAAATGAATTGAATGATTTGAAATTCTCATGCGTGTTTGGTCATGTACTAAATGATGTTTAGGTTAGGGATAAACTAGAGACCTCTAACTTCATGGATAAACAAATCCAGCAAACATAAACAAGCATTTTGGTAAGCAATTTATGAACTCACACATTCGAGTAACATGGAAAGCACTAATTCATGGCATCTAAAATTAGTCCCTTTGGAACTTGGCATTGGCAATCAGTGCATTACTCTTCTGTCGAAGTAACAACCATGCCCTACATAGGTCCAATGGAGGTAGAATGACATAGCATCTGTTAATGTCCCAGCATTGCATCTTCAATGTCCAGATTCTAGATTGAGCCGTGCAATAATGTCCAGATAGTTGAGTTTGAAAAGACTAGCAGAAAATTTGCTGATTGGATGTGTACCCATTAAATTTACACATGTACCTATGCATTATAAAATGAAATGTTAGACTGGAAATCAGTCGAATTATAAACTGGTGAAAAGAAAACACATTTCTGTAATTTCAGTTCAACTTGTTTGACAAAATCCATGGACCCACAAATTCCTAGAAACACAGAATAAACACTAACATTCAATTTTCAACCAAGTTCAGAAAGGCAAAACTGATCAAAGTACCTTTGAGTATTTAACTGCTGCATCACTCTTCTGTATACAATTTGCAGATTCTATAAATCATCAGAAAGTCACCGAAAGGCAGCTTAACAGAGTAAAAGGAAGGAGGACCCCCATGTGGATGGATATGCGGCTTGAGGATGGCCACATAGTTCATGTTTTACATATATTTCTGTGGATTAGTCTATAAGCTAAACCATCAGAGATTAGATTTTTAACAATGTTCTGAAATTCTACCTCTGTCGAAAGCCGTGCCAAAATTCCAGATTACCACCAAATTGAAATGCTATGAAAAGTGTTTTTGAGTTTTTCCACAATTGATAGATTCCATTCAAATGAGAAGTGAGATCAATTAAGGTGTCACATTAGCAAAAATATGGAATTGCCTATCAGATAGATGGCCATCATGCCTATTCTCTACATACCACATTACTAGTCCTGAAGTCCCTAGTTTTACAGGTGTTCCCTTTGGAAAGTTACCTCAATATTATTAAATGGGGGAAAAACTACATTCAATGGAAAATTGCTATTAGTGAAACAGAGGAGGCTCCAAATCAGTGGAATGACAATTGTCCATTCCTTCTTTGAAATCCAGCACACCGTCCTCTACTTCATTAATAAGTCATCTAAGGATGCAACATTTTCTCTCACAAATAAAAAAAAAAAAAAAGTGTACAGAACGGTAAATAATAAATGAGTATACAATATTGCTGACTCACACACACACACTCAAGTATGCCATGAAATTAGTATAACAAGTAAAATTTTATAGTTTAAGGGAGAAATGGTGTAAATTCACAGGTCAGAGGAAGTTTTCAGCCATTGATGCTAACCATCTATTACACTCAACTGACTCTACCTCCTGACCCGAGAGCAATATGGGCTTGCATGCATCACATTGGAAAAATAGAATCAAAAAATAAATTTACTGACACTGTAGAAATTGAAACAATTGTCTCTACCTCAAATATCAGAGTTTTCAACTTTGAGACTACATATTAGACAACCAGTTGCCAAAAGCTTAAGCTATTGGAGAATGGGTTGAATATCGTACATCAAACTCTCCGTGCTTGGTTTCCATTTATTTCAACTAGAAATATAGCTTTTAAAAAAAAATAATAATAACAAAAAAAAAAGCCACTGTCGACTGATGTGTATTACCTATAATGAGATGATTGTGCCTTATGAAGTGTTTAGACAGTTTCTAATGATAAACAGTGCATAATGAACCACGTCAAGGAATGCTGAAACTAACATGTAAGCAACATACCAGTTGTTTTGTACAAATCATCAACGCTCTGCTCTATGAAGGCAAAAGTACTAGAAAAATGCCTAAAACCATGTTTCCTCCCAAACCAAATATAGCCTTAATGTGATCACAAAATTAATAACTGAATCACCACACGTACATTCTTAAGCAAAGCAGGTCAGTAAATGCATTGACTTGCCCTCAAAATTCAACTTGTGACCTCTATCCAACTACACCCAACATCTTTCTATTGTTGGAATGCTAATAACTTACCTCACAATTTGGACATCAGGCAATGGCTTGAATGGTTAAAAAATCTCACGCAAATTTGATCACAGAACAAACTGATGCTTAGATTATGGACAAACTTAAGACTTCTTATGTCATGTATATAGAAATCTAGCAAACATAAATTGTACTAACCAAATTGCAATTTAACATTACTGCACAAAGAAGCACTTCAGAACATTTCATCTGTCGCTGGGCATCAATGTACTACTGACTGTTCGGATTGAATACCAAATAGTAAGGACTTATCATGATGAATACAACTCATATATTCATTGAGCAGCCCATAATGTGGCTGTGTTACATATTTAATTGTTGAGAACTGAGATCAAACAAACACAATGGCCAAAAGTGTTAGGTGTGTTATGACACCCACCAAACATAGGATTCCACAGTACCGTATTTTATTTTATTTTTGGCACGAGAAAAAGAACATCATTCATTAATACATACAAAAAATAACACAGTTCGGGAAACAACCACCAACAACATGAATAAGTGTTACAAACACTCAAGCAAAAACAAAAAACAACACCAGAGGTAACATAATTGACGCGAAGCTAACAGTAAATTGACTATAGGCTGCCAAGTAGGATCGTTCAGTATCAGAAGGAAAGTAGGCCTCTCCACGAGAAGAAGAGATGCAATGTAAAGATAATTGGCATGAATGAAAAGATTGTGCGAGATAACAAAAATCCAAAAACCATGTAGCTGCCACCACCTGGATATCTTTACTACCCTGTATCTGCTGAAATAGAGTCACAGAGTTAGTAACAATATTAATATGCAAAAAAATTGTGCTTATGAACCCATTTAAGATCAGAAATAGATGCCGCTAGTGGAGCACAAGGCCTGCGCACAGTAAGATCATGAAATTTGGATTTCAAATTCGTTCAGATCTCCAAAAGTTTGGCGAATAGACAATGCCATTAAAATAAAATATCTAGATATGTAGACAATTTGAACACTAGTTTTCTCATGAAGTCTATGGAATGCTGAACGAAGTGATCAAATTGTCATTTTCCTTCAAAACTACAACAGAGATTTTGTATATCAATTGAGCCATCCATGAGATTGCAATAGTGGCAACTCTCAGAACATCATAAGATTGGAGAGCATATCTTGAGACATACATATATGCATGTGCGTGTTCTCTATTATTTGACATGAAATTTGAAAGGTAGTTATACTTGTTTTGCAAAATTAAAACATAGATGAAGTGTTGCTCAATTTGTTCTATTTCAGGAAGCGAAGGAATGCACTGGGCCAAAGAGTTAGAATTTTCAAACCTAGTACCACTAATAATCTGAAATTTTTGTTTTGACATGGTTTCGGATCATTGAAGTCACAAATATCACCATTTTTTTTTTTACTTCATCCTTAAACTATCATTTTGTCTATTTAGTTCCTAAATTGTTGAATTTATGTTTGTGTAGTCCAATTGGAGACAATTATACAAATTAATAATTGTTAAAACTTTATTTGTTTAAAAAAATGTTATTTGAGAATTTGAACATCTTAAATCATACAACAAAACACTCATTTCTCTTACTATTTTGAATAAATTACAACCCACAACCAACTTAATAGGTGTTTGAGTGTATGATTTAAGTTGTTCAAATTATAAAATTATCTTTTTTTCCCCTAAATTTAGGTTTTAATGGTTTCTGATTTGTACAATTGTCTCCAATTGGACCGCATGAATAAAAAATAAAAAAAAATTAGGAACAATATAGAAAAAATTGATAGTTTAGAGGAAATAGAGAAAATGTTGATAGCTTAGAGAATACGAGTGAAATTAACGCTTAAAAATAAATAAATAAATAAAGGAAAGAGAGGGGAAAGAAACTAAGCATGGACCAACCAACCAACCTGATGTAAATGTAGGAAGATCCGAGAAAGATCAGTCGTCAATTCTTATCCTAATATGATGGAAGGCACGTGCTGGACTTTGTAGAAGTCCTCTCCTCCTTCTCTAACCCTGTCTATGAGTGCTTCAGATGCGTATTTAATAACCAATTCCCGGAGGGTGGTAATGAACCTCAATCCGTCCGGAATCTCCTTCAATTTTTCGCATTCAAAAATTTGTAAACTGAAGAGACAGGGCATGGCTCCTTGTTCCACCCTCCACTCCTCCACGTTACGAAGACCCCAGAGAGATAAATTTATGAGTTTCGGAAAACCTCCACCATCACAGCCGCCATAGCCCCCTCCTCCTCCTCCACCATCACTGATGCTGGATGGTGCTATTGTTGTTGGTGGTGCAGAAGAACAAACCATCTCCTTCCCAAAGTAGGAATGATAATCTAAGTAGAGAGTCCTTAAGTTGGGGAACTTCTCCAATGTTGGCATTGGGTCTTCCTCTAGTTTAGTATTCCGCAACCATAACTTGGTGAGATTTGGAGGGAATTGGTCTGGCAATTTATTCAGGGACTCCCACAATGACAATTGGCGAAGATGGTGGCATCCTAAAAGTTGCCTTAAAAGGCTTTGTTCTTCTGCCGTTCGGAAATCTCCTGTAATACCGAAGGATGAATATTGCAGAAGGCGGTTTGAATTGTCGAGGATTGGGGATTTCAACATCACGACCAAGTCTTTGGGGGCTACCTTACCTCTGAATTTTCGAAGATTTGTCAGTTTAGATAAGCATCTGACATCACACTTCCTTGCATCAAAGTTTTCTAGCGTCTCCAATTTACTTAAACCATCCAATCGCAACTTACGTATGCAAGACAGTTTGATGTTATCAGGAAGATATAGATGTCTCAATTGTTTCAACCTCCACAAGACATTGGGTATTCTTAAACTATTGCCCCATCTCCATGTCCTTAAATCTAGGGTTTGAAGGAATCCCAAGTTGCCTATGGAGCAAGGCAAACTTTTAATACTATGAGAATCTCTTATACTTAAGTACTTCAGGTAAATTAGGTTTCCTATTGCTCTCGGCAACCTTTTTCCCTTTCCCAACATAATAATTCTTTCAAAGTCTAAAACGGTAAGCAATGTGAGATCCTTGAAGAGTAATTTTAATTTTTGCCAATGAGAACTTTCCAATGCATTGCCCAAAGAGTAAAATTGGCATGATCGGATATGGTGGTGATTCTTCATTTCATGTCCAGATAAGGGAAGAATAGTTTCACTTTCTATAGAGTTGGCATCACGGGCACCCACATAGTACACGGCAAGTCTGCGAATTGTTGTTAATGATGATGATGAAGAAGGCAGCGCAGATTCTGTCCGTGTAAGCTGATGATCAAAGGCTGTAATGCGAACAATCTCGAGAAAATTCTCCTCTTTGGCCTTCAACAAGCATAAGTTTCTCATGAGATCGTGGAGGCGACAAAGTTTAATCTTTTTGTTGAAGCTTGTTAATTGGACTTGAACCATGCATCTTTGGACTAACTCACCCAAGTAACTCATTCCAACATCCAACATTGTTTCCTCTTCTACTTCTCCTACTCGTGTTGGTATCGATAACTGCGACACAATGCCTTCAGCCATCCACATTTGAATCAGTTTTTTTGCGCGAATATCATGATCTTCAGGAAGATGGCTCAAATACAAAAAGCATGCCTTAAGATGATATGGCAAGTCTTGGTAGCTTAAGGCTAAAATTTCTGTTATTGGGACTCCTCCTTGGCCTTTGCCCTTACCTAAGTCATAACTAATGTTTTTACTCACCTTCTTCCAGTCGACCAGTTTGTGCTTTGTTGCCAAAAGTCCTCCTAATACCACAATTGCCAACGGTACACCACCACAATGATTGACCATTGCCTTTCCTAACTCAATCATTTCTGTGCTTAATGTGAATCCTACAAAATTAGACAGAAAAAAAGAAAAATGTATCTGATGGTAAGTTTGTACTAGTCTATTTGGACGGTACTGATATAAATAAAAAATAGCAATGAGTATTTATATTAAAAACAATAATGCTAAGAAACCAATAAATACACCAATGAATTTATTAACTACAACACAAAAATTATATGTAAGTTTCATCACTTGACATGAGGTCCAACTGACATTGTGTAAGCTAAAATTCTTTGTTCCCAAAACTATAAAAATAAATTAATTAATTAATTAAAATGATACACAAAAAATGGATTGGGTGAAACTATTTTTAAAAATTGATTTTGAGAAAATTCTCAAAATTTTAAACCTTACATAAAAAATGAAAATTATACAAATGTTTAATAAACCAATCTCAAACAACTTTGAACAAGTTGAACACAAATTGAGCTTAAGTAGCATAGTCTGCTTTACTGTCTTAATTTTTAACAAAATATTGTAACATAAGTTATTTTCATATATTATGGCCCTGTTTGGTAGGGCTTATTTCAGCTTTTAGCTTAATTTAAGTTATTTTGATATGTTTAGTTCAGCTTAACAATACAGCTTATAATTTTTTGTAAGTCAAAAATCAATTTATGCTTTGAGTGGTGGAGGAGAAGCTTAATTTATAAGTCAAAAATCAGCTTATGTTCATAGTTATAAGCTACAATCACTTTCCCACAACTCTACCAAACGGGTCATATATTTGTTATCTAGACAAATCTAGAGCATGCATTCCTAAGGACGTAGATACACATTGTAAGAAAGTTATGATTGAATGTGATGAAAGTAATGAATATTTGTAATGTGTTATGTCAGTATATGGTAAAGTTACAGAAATGGGTCATTTTTAATCACATAATGAATATTTGTAATGTGTTGGGTCATTTTTAATCACATAATGAATATTTGTAATGTGTTATGTCACTATATGGTAAAGTTACAGAAATGGGTCATTTTTAATCACACCTTTTAAGTGTGATTAATAACTCTTAATTTAAGTATATTACACTCACTAACTTCTCATTTGCTCTTGTGGAGATTCGAACCATCAACCCTCTCACACCATAAACCTTATACAACACACTTTTTCCACTACACCTCTATAACACCATATGATTATATATGCAACATATATTATTTATATAGTACATAAACCCATATTAATATAAAAGTACATATATAAACATAATTATTTTTTATTAAATATAATTTATTTAAAAATAAATTATTTAGTAGAAAAAAAAAGAGACCACTTTTGGCGACTAAACATAATCTTCGCCAATTCTATACTTTTGGCTACTAATTATTTTTTAGTCGTTAAAAAATTTAATTCCCGGGCTAAAATTACCACTTTTGGCAACTAAATTTCTTTTTAGTCTCCAAAAAGCCTCACTTTTGGCTACTAAATATCTTTTTAGTCGCCCAATGCCTTAGTTTTGGCTACTAAATATTTTTTAGTCACCAAAAAATCTCATTTTTGGCTACTAAAATTTTTTTAGTCAGTAAAAGCCTCACTTTTGGCGACCAAACATCTTTTTAGTCACCCAATACCTCACTTTTGGCTACTAATTTTTTTTTAGTCGCCAAAAAACCTTACTTTTGGCTACTAAAATTTTTTGAGTCGGTAAAAGCCATATATGGGCAACCAAACAGATTTTTAGTCACCAAAACGTATACTTTTGGCTACTAAATTTTTTTAGTCGCCAAAAATCTTTACTTTTGGCTACTAATGCTTTTTTAGTCGCCAAAACCTATACTTTCAGCGACCAAATGTGCTTTTTTAGTCGCCAAAGATGCTTTTTCTTGTAGTGGAGTGTGATTATATATATATATAATTACACTTATTTAAAAAGTATGATTAAAAAGTAGTAATGTATATATAATCACACTTTAATTAGAATGTGTGATTAAAAAATATATATATAATCACACTTATTTAAAAAATATGATTAAAAAGTAGTAGTATATATATAATCACACTTTAATTAGAATGTGTGATTAAAAAATATATAAATAATCACACTTTAATCAGAATGTGTGATTAAAAAATATATATCTAATCACACTTATTTAAAAAGTGTGATTAAAAAGTAGTAGTGTATATATAATCACACTTTAATTAGAATGTGTGATTAAAAAAAAAATATATATATATATATATAATCACACTTTATTGAAAAGTGACATAAAAAATGAAAATTATCACACTCAATCAAATTAAGTGTAATTAAAATATCAATCTAATTTTTTTTATCACACTTCTAATAAAAGTGATAATTTTTTTTTGTCAAAGTGTGATCTTTAACTATTTTTGTAATAGTGTTACCAATAGTGAATAGAAAATGATAGACAAGTGGGTCTAATTTATGTTGTCTATCTTAAAGTTACTGATGGTGAAGTTATGACTTTTGACTTTTTTTAATGATATTTTGTGGTGAGAAGTTATGACTTTTGTGGTGAGAAAATTTATAAAATTCAATGGTTTATGTTATTTGTAAGGTTTTACAGAAGAGTTATGAAGAAGATACCATATGCACCATTTTGAGATGCACATTGTAAGATTATAGTGTAGGATTACGATTGTTAACTTATAAACTTACAATCCCATTTTTTATTGTAAATTTTATTAATTGGATTACATGTCGACATGAAATTGATGATTTTTTAATATTGAGAGGGACGGAATCATAATTTAAAGCGTGAAATAAAAAAACCAAAATAAATATATAATAAATTATTATCTCACTAATTTTATTAAATAACTCCTACCCTAATTCATGAAATCATTAATCTTTTCGCTATTAATCAAACAAGGCCTTAGTTGTTCTTGAATTCTATACCATAGCTACATCATGGTCCAAGGTATGTATGGTTTGTTTTGTTCTAGTTAGTTTTTGTATGAATATTCTACCTAATAAATTCTTAAAAAAAAATGAACAATTTAAATTTATCGAAAATGGTCTCAAAATGGGCCCACCAAAACCAAGCTATTCTCTGAAATTGAATTGTCAAATTGAAAGAATTAAAATCCGAAAGGAAAGTAGTTTAAGAAAGACATTTGAAACTTTAAAAGCACAAATAATTAATTAGATCATGTAGGTTGTTAATAATTACTGGTACCTTCATTTCTTCTCAGAAATGTTTTCTTCTCAAACAGCTCCCAACTCTCCTTTTCTGTTAAGTGCCTCAATTGATAAAGCACGCATTGTTGATCTACATGCTTAGCAACATTTTCATTGCGAGTTGTTAGCAATATTTTGCTGCCTACCACTGAAGTATTTGGGAAGCCTGGACTCAAAATATCCCAATCCGCATCCTTCCAAATGTCGTCGAGAATCACCAAACATTTCTTCTCACTTTGGACTTGATGAAGTTTCTTGACTAGCTCATCATGATTCAACTTTCCAATTGCTTTCCTTTCTTCATTTGATGGAGAGAGAAGTTTGATAAGAATCCCTTCAAGAACTTCCCTTGTATTGCATTGTTGAGATATATAGGCCCAAGCAACACATATAAAATGACGCCTAATTTCAATGTGTTTGTAAACCGTCTTTGCAAGGGTGGTCTTGCCAAGACCACCCATCCCCCAAATAGAAACAACACTATAATGCGTATTCTCCTTCACCAAAAGATCCACTATAGCTTTTACGTCTTCTTCCGTGCCTACAACGTCCTCCTCAACAATATGGGTATAGGATCGCCTTAATTGTCGCTGCCTCTCAGCCATAGGAGTTGATGATGAACTTTCTCTAACTCCTGTAGAATTTAGTATTCCACAAGTTTGAAAACCTGTTGTGAGGCTATTGGTGATCCTGTTATTAATAGCCTCAATCTCCAACCTAACCTTACGAAGGGCAAAACATTCCTTGAAGATACACAAATACCTCTTGAGAAGGAAAGGGAACTGTTGAAAATCAAGCCACATCAGATGCCATATGCATCAAGCCCTTTTCTGCTTTCGGTGATTATTTAATTCATTTGCTTTATTTAATTCATATGCTTTCGGTGAGTGTATGCTGATATAGATATAATATATATTAATGTATAGTTAAATATGTAGTGGCCTCGTGGCCTGCTTGTTTGAGTTTTTGGCCTCGTGGCCTCGTGGCCTCCATCTGATCATATTGTATAAACCTCCTATATAATGGAGTAGCATTGTAAGGCTTAAGTCATTGAAATAAAAAGTCTATGTTTAGTCTTTCAATCACTCTCTCTCTCTCTCAATATTAATATTTCTCAGGAACTGATCTGATCTCCCACTAGTACGAAATGCAATTTTGACAACAAAAGTTGCAATTGCAGCTTCAGCATCATAGGATGCTTCTCTGATTTCAGCAACGCAATTGCGGATTATAATCTCATCTGCTCGTCCTTTTGGTCTTGCATCTGCAGCTTCTAAGAAGCATTGCATCCTATTTAGCTGGGCTTGCAATTGCTCAACTTGTGGCCTCACCCCACACAAGTTTTCCGCTTCCTGGATGAGCAGCCCAGCCAGACTTTTCACCACAAAGGTTACAAAAGGTAGAGCTACAGATTCCGCCATAGTCACCAAAGTCTTCTTGCTTCTCCTGCTTCTTTCACGGGTGTACTTGTTATTAGAATTACAATGGTATTATGGATATGGACTTAAGGCCAAACCTAGTTCGGCATTTACGGACGACGAGGTTACAGTCCCCCCACGCAGTGGACAGCCCACAATTTTTTACTGTTTGCAAGATTGACATAGTGGGTGGGAGAGATGGAAAATAAAAAATTCAAAAAAAAAATTATTAGTTCTGATAAAATATCAAGATATTATATATAGTTTATAAACTTTATAATACTAATGTCAGAGAACTAATTATAAAATAAATTACCGAGGCCATACACAGCTGTCTTATGGGTTTTGCTGCATCTCTTCCTTCCCCAGTAGTGTTTGTCTTTAGAATATTTCATGCTATTGAGTTGTGAGAAGTCTTTGGTCCAGCATAACAGTTGCTTGGTTAGTACCTGGTTGTTTTGTCTGGTAGTGTGGCCAACAACCACGTTGTTTGAATTGAGTTATTTGGAGAGGATGTGCCTTTGAAGTGGTGCGAAAACCAGCCCATTGTTTTTATACTCTTTAACCACTAGCCCGGTATGTGCAATTTTATTAAATTTTTTTATAAAGTGTAGATGGGGAATATTGCATATACTAAATTACTAGATGGAGAATGGTGTCACCTCTATTCTTTTTTTCCACGTCTTCAATTGGTACTCACAAAATTATTAGTGCATTTTACTAATTCATACAGGCACATTCTTAAGCAAAGCAGGTCAGTAAACCCAAATTCAACTTGTGACCTCTATCCAACAACACCCAAAATCTTTCTCCAAACCTTCTTTTTCTTTCTTTTTTTTAATCAGCTCCCTCAATTGCCTGGTATGATCCCCTCCATCAACATTACTTTGTACACACAAGGACAAAAGAATTTTTTTTTTAAAAATTCAAAGTTTCTCTCTTTATCATAGTTGTCAGCCACAGTATGCAGTGCCAATGGGTTTAAATGAAAGGCAAGAACAAATTTCGTATATGGGACTGGACAATATGCTCTACAAATTATTTGCATTTACATGTCTTTGTGGCCTGTAACTTTCATCGATGCGCAGACCTTCTTCAACTTGCTTTGCATGCCTTCAAATCAAGGCTGGTGTATGCTATTGGAACCACAAATTGCAATTTGACATTACTTGCAAAGTTGCACTTCAGAACATTTCATGCGTCTGGGCATCTTGCTGATGATCATAACATATGTTTAATGTACTGACTGTTTGGATTGAAAGACTAAATAGTGTTGGGGAATTTTCAAAATTTATAGTTTAATTTTTGGGTGTTTTCAAAACCTCCCTTGTTTTTCTTTGGAAAGCTTAAAATAAGCTTTTGGGACTTTGTCCTACATTAGAAAGAGAGAAAAATATGGAGCACTTAATAAAGTGTTATATGGAATATTCCTTTAAATATAGGATTATGGAATGGTTGCTAATGTGTATGCACGCACGCGTGGTGTGGACTGTGTGGCGTTTGACGGCGCACTTAGCACGGACGCATCGGACAGGTTGGAGCAATGACGTGGATCCGACGTGGCAGTGATGTGGGCGATAAGTCAACCAACCAATCGATCGGTTGCATGTCTGATCTTAAGTGGTTTGATCATAGTCGTTGATTGATTGGAGATGCACACGATCGTGATTTGATCGGATGCGATCAAGGGACATGACTATTCAATCAAATGCATCAATGCCTATAAATAGGTTGCGAAATTAGCCATTTCAATCCATCCAAAATCCTGAAAGCATTCCCACAATTCTCTCTCTCTTCCTCTTGATTTAGAGTTTTCGATCAAGAGTTTCTTAAGCAAATTTTTGCTTTTCTTACTGGTAACCAAATTCTACAGACTTGATTATCAGTGTCTTGATTTTCTTGATAATATCAAGAGTGTTTTGATCTACTATCGTCAGTGCAGATGCCAGTAGACTTGATACTCAGATCAAGTTTCATTGTATCTTGGAGATGAATTTGTTGTAACCCCCTGTACACCTATTGGTGGGTGCAAATATTATTTTTAGGAAAGCGACTAAGTAATACGACTTGAAGCACCAATTTTCTGTTCTACATAGACAAGATCATCGCCAAGTTTTAAAAACCCAAAGGCAGTAGAATTCAAAAGGAATTTATCCAACAAATAGTAGGGACTTATCATGATGAATACAACTCATACATACATTTGTTGAGAAAATTACAGATTTAACAAACACAATGGCAAAAAGTGTTAGGTGTGTTACGACCCCACCAAGCATAGAATTGCAGAGTTTTTTTTTTCTTTTAATGGCATGTGAAAAAACATCATTCAATGATACATATAAAAAGTAACACCAAGCAAAAAATAAAATAAAAAGTAACGCAGTTTAGGAAACAATAACTAATTACATGAAGAAGCCTTTACAAAAACTAAAGCAAAACTAAAATTAAATGAAAAGGCCACTAGTGGTAACATATGGACCTTAATTGACTAGATGCTTTCAGGTAGGATCATTCGGTATCAAAAGGAAAGTAGGTGGGCCTCTCCATGACAAGAAGAGATATGGGAAAATGCTGCAAACTGGGCTAAGGAAAAAGCTGCTGTGAGCGAACTCCCTGGCTGTAGAGATAATTGACATGAATGAAAAGACTTTATGTATTTGTAATCATGATGCTAATAAATATTAGCAAAATATAAACGAGTTTAAGAATTCTTCAATCATTTTTTGGTGTATGTGCTGAAATGTTAACGCCTTAAAGTAGCTCAAGTCCAAGTTGCAGAAGTACCCCACTTGGTTCATTATATACCATACTAAAAATTCATACTGTATTGATGTGGGATATCACAATATCCAAAATGAATTGGAATGTGAACACCAATGAGCTAGGATAACTTTTTTTTTATGAATGAACAAGTATGTTAAACAAAATATCAATCAATTACCTTGTGCATTGTTGGGCTATTATAACAGATGCTTAATTAAGAGCTTTTGCAATTCTTCAAATTGGATGACTGTAGTCACATGATTCGAATCCAGCATATTTTGGTTTCTCAGTATCCTGCTATTATGGTTTCTTTTGTCGACTAAAAATGAATGATGATAATTCATAGTTATATGCAGTTAAATGGAAGAAAATGCAGGAATTCAATTAAAGTCCTCAAGTTGCTAGTCTTAGAAGTGTTCCTTCTAGAAAATTACCTACATTTTGTCTAATATGAAAAACTACATTCTTGAGTGCAATATAGAAAGGACATCTCCAAGGGAGTAGCATTTACTGATCTGCCATGTCTTCAGTTCATAAACAATAAAGTTATGAAACAAATTACTCAGATAAATAAAAAATTAAAAAAACAAGAAATTCCTTTTCTCACTCACATAGAGTGAAGCTTTTTACTTTTTTTGTCTCTACATTTTTATACACCAAATTAAAAATATAAAAAAAATTAAAAAGAAGAAGAAGATAAGATGTACAGGAGCTTGCTTGTTCCGTCCTTGTTTACAAAATTTGTCAGAAAGAATTTTCTTTGCTGGATTGAGGGCCAAATGTTTTTACATTTATTTTCTAGATTAGTCTATAAGCTCAGCCATCAGAGATTAGATTTCCAAATGTGCTCTGCGATTCTACCTCTGTCAAAGGCCTTGCCAAAATGGTATGACAATTGTTTTGAATTAAATTATTGTGGTCTTTGCTCTACAACAATTTCTATCTCCACAATTGGCAGGATCAACTCAAATCAGAAGTGAGATCAATCAATGTGTCACCCCGAGCAAGAATATGAAACTGCCCATCAGATGATCATGCTGCCTATCCTCTAATTTGCTTTACTTTGTTTCCTTAGGGTCCTGTCCAACAAAAACTGACTAGTAGAAATATTGAACAATCAAAACTTATCCAATCACTATGATTCATTCTATATGGTGTAGGCTTGATCCGTTGGTCAATCTGAAATTTATGAGTCTGATAAATAAATCAATGATTTTATACCAGCCAGCCACAACAATAGTCCTGAAGTTCCTAGTGTTATAGGTTTTATAGGTGTTCCCTTTTAGAAACTTTAAGTTGATACGGATTGAGGGTTCAAAACTTGAGAATCAGTTCAAAAGAGACTAAGTTGTACAGAAAAACAGATTGAGTTAGTATCTGAAGGAAAAGTTATGTGAATTGAGCACAGGAATTTATATAAGCAAAATTCATGACATACTAGAAAAATAAATTTGGCAATCAGAAAGTCCATTAAGTCAAGCATCGACACAATCCAATATTCTTTGGATGCAATCCAAGTTCCATAAAGCAACGACACACATTAGTTCAATAATGTTCTCAGAGTCCTTTTAAAGTGAGGAGGCGTTTGAGTGCATCTTGGAAAGGCATTCCATCAAACATGAAATCCTTGGCATAAAAAATTAGTCACTATTCTATTCAAGCAACAATCATGACCTACTTAATTCCATTCAGTGCAGATAGAATCACAGAGCACTAATAAAATGTTCCAACATTGCGTCAACAATGTGCAGATTCTTGCTTTCATTCTACAAAAAATCACTATGAAGTTGAAGTCTTAGAAAGTCCAATCCAAGAGAGGGCAATAGGAGCTCTCTTATGTTAGCTTTTGATAAAACTCTCTTTAGAATGATCTATATTTTGTATTGAATTTTTCTCACTTATTGATTCATATATTTTGCCCAAAGGCTTATATCCTTTTATATAGAGAAGGTTATACATAAGTTCAATGAATAAGATCCATGAACCTAAACAACCTTACAATTAATTAGGTACATGAATATAATCTAGACAATGTACTTAATAAATATAAAATACATGAATATAAAAATACATGAATACAAAGAATATATGAACTCAATGTATCCAATGCATGCAATGTATCCAATGTATCTAATGTAAATATGGCATTAATTTTAACACTCCCCCTTAATGCCGTATTGTGTGACACCCAACATTTCTCTAAAAAATTCAAATTTGTCCCTTGGTAGAGCTTTGGTGAAGATGTTCGCAACTTCATCTTCAGTCTTGCAATACTTGATTTGAATCTCATCATCTTCCACAGCTTCTCTAATGAAATGATGTTTGATAGCAATGTGTTTGGTACGAGAATGGTAGACGGGATTCTTTGCCATAACAATAGCAGACTTGTTATCACACATAATTGGAGTAGCTTCACCTTGCTTCTCACCAAAATCATCCAAAATTCCTCTTAGCCAAATTGCTTGTGTAGTTGCCAATGATGCTGAAATATGTTCAGCTTCAGCAGATGATTGTGCCCCAGTTTGTTTTTTCTTGGATGACCATGAAATTACGCCCGATCCAAGAGAAAATGCATACTCAGAAGTGCTTCTCATATCATTAACACGTTCAGCCTAATCACTATCACAGAATCCAATTAACTTTGCATCAAGAAATTTCTCATAAAAAAATTCTATAATCAAGTGTACCTTGAATGTATCTCAACACTCTTTTTGCAACCCCAAAATGAATTTGGCTTGGACTGTGCATGAACCGAAACAATAAACTTGTAGCATACATGATGTCCGGTCTTGTAGCAGT